CTCACTGCCCACTGTTAGCCCAATCTTTTGCAACCTGGATCACTGAAAATCTACTCCCCCGAAGGATCATTGCAACCAAACAAACACAAAAGTCCGCAAAGCTGGTAATCCTAATCAAAACATAATTTATATAACTCAAATATAGTAATCAAATTAAATATATAATTACATAATAATTAAATTAGATATCAACTTCATCATATATATAATATATTCCCATCATAATCACATCAAATATCAACTTCATTATATATTCACATCGAATCAAATATTATTTATAATCTTTATTATGTTCATTTAGTGGGTAGAGAACCATGGTAGACCCGGAGATCCTGCCGGTCTACCCTGACTCGGATATCCTGCCAGTCACATATCAACAATATCTCTTCTTAGTGTGTACACTTCTTTCCAAAGTTACTACTAGTATCCCAGATATCCTGCCAGATACCACTTTGAGAAGAACAAATAATCTCTTTTCACATCACATAATTATTGGAGGCATAAAGTCCAAAATTTTTGTTCATCACTTTATGAGGTACCATCCCAAAGCTATCATCCCACTAATTAATTAATCACACACAATCAGAAACATTCAATCTTGTCATATTTAGAAAGTTTTTTCTTTAATATATAACCTATTTGTCAGTTACTCAAGGGAATCAAAATTTCTTTATTTTATTCAATAAGACTCATATTGTACATAATAAAATTTTCATCATTTTATCAAAGACAAAATTTACTTTATGATTTATTATCTATCACCATCAAGGTATTAATATTATTCCCAAGCACATCACACACATAACAAATTTTCTATAGATCGCACATAATAAGTTTTCCATAGAAATTAAATAAAATTCCTAATAAGACTCATATATAATATATAATTAATGTTATACTTATCTAGGGTTAATTAGATGAGTTCCCAAATAATATAAATAATTTTATAAATAATCCTATTATTTTATAGGGGTCAAAACCCAATAAAGTTCCCAGATAATATAAATTTTTTACAGATAATTAAAGATTAAGAAATAGGATAAATTTTTATATAAAACAAAACTACAGTGCTCTAAGTATTAGAATTACAAACAAAAATTCATACAAAAGATAACTTACAAATACGAAGGGATTAAGGTTACATACACCAAATTTCATATATATATATATATATATATATATATATATATATATATATATATATAATAACCTAAAAGAACATAGGAATTCCAAATTTTATATACACAAATAATCTAAGAGAACCTAGGGATTAAGATTACATAAATATCAAATTAACTGATTATTCCATGATGATTAGAATCACATTTAATAAATTTAATATAAAATAAAACTATAGTGCCCTAAGTATCGAGATTACATCAAGCAAAAATTCATATAAATCTAACCCTTGACTCTCTAGAGATTAGGATTACCTGGTCTTCGTGTTTGCTACCTTTTAGAAGAAAAGCGATTAGAGAAAAGAAACGGTTGTAACCAAATTAAAAAATAAAAAATAAAAAAAAATAAAATAACATTTTGAGGTAAGAAGAGAGTAGCAGAGGAGAAGAGGAGAATTACTGAGGATTGAAAGTGATTTGATTTTGTTAGACTAGGCCTCTATTTATAGTTGGAGTTCTGGGCTCAGATATGAGTTTCGTGCAATTATTTCCTTATTCTTCATTGATGTACCTGGCTCAAATATTGGCTTCATACACTATTTCCTTTTTTATTCTTAATTTCTTATAGCTCAGAATATCGCTAACTCATGACTGACTCATTATTGACTCAATGCTGACTCATCATATCTAATCAAATTACTAATCAAATAATCACATAATGCACAAATCACAATTTATCATCTAATATATATATATATATATACATATATTATTATTATTATTACTATTACTATTACTACTACTAAATTATAAATAATTTATTGTATTATAAATTACTATTATTTTTCTGGGATATTACATCTTCCTTATCTCGCTCAAGTTCTTTCACGATGTTCTCCATCACAAAGTTACTTTTCACACTTACGTGGTGTGTTTAAAGTCTCCCTTCTTTTTCATTGGCATGATGGTAGTGATTAGTGAAACTGAGCTATAGTTTATACTACCCATGTGTTGGTGTCCAAGGAATCCCTTAGAATAGAAAAGAGCGTCTGTGCACCTGAAGTAGTTGAAGAGTTGGGTCATGATTAACTTGGTCGGGCTTTATCCACTCCAAGAGATATTTGGCTCGATGGTTTGACCTATCCAGCCCTGTACAATCCAAAAAGGTTGAATTTTGGAAATCATTTTGTTTGAGACTTTATATATAATAAAAATTATGACTAACTTGTTAAGAAATTTAAAATATAAACTATGAAATGAAAAATTATTTAAAGTCTTAAAAACTTCAAAATATTTAATAATTTACTATTCAAATAAATCAAATGATTTAATAAAATTATTTAATGAAAAATAAATTTTTATAATAATTTTTTTATTTTGAGCTTTGTTAAATGGTCGTCGGCTCACTTAAATAGTAATTTTTTTTTAAAATTGCCAAAAATAAAAATTGTCTTAACTTTTAACCAAAGAAAATATGTTGGATCTTCGGACTTAAAATGCTCTCTTAAAAAGTTACTGAGGTCATAGAGTTTAAACCTCCACATTAGTATTGTTAAAAAAGTAAAATAAAAAATAAATATATGCTAAGAATGTATTTCCTTTTATTTTTTCGGTTATCATTTCCTTTATGCTTAAGCTTACAAAGTATTTATTGAAATTTTTTTAATGAATTCATTTACTTCCTCTTCCGCAATTAATGATTTTTTATTCTTACTTTGAGAATTAAGGACTTGAAGAAAAGTAACAGTTGGTCTACATGTAGATACAAGATATGTTTTGATGATAACAAAGAGGCAACAACAAAAAAAGAATAACCTTGATCAAGAACAAAAAACATTAACCATGCGTGAGGATTGAAGATACATGTTGGAGCCACATAAAAAGATTAAAGACATCAAAGTTGCAACAACATGGATGAGCTTTGAGAATAGCAAAGAGTCAAGAGAAATTCAATTAAGAGAAACAAGGAATAATTAAAAGAGAAACACCAAAATCAAAGACAACAAACCATGGACAACATCTAAAAGAAGCTCAATATCACAACCATGGTGAAAAAGTTTTAAAACCAACAAAATATCAAGTATTGTCATATCCAACAAGTTCAAAGCATCAAGTTCAAGTAAAGAATCAAGATGTGAACCTAATTCCAAAATCTTATTTAGAATTATATCTCTAGAACGTAGACTCATGTGTAAGGGTATATGGTAGATTGCATTGCATGAGCTCAAAGTTTTTCTCAAAGTAAACATGTTTTTCAAATTGCATCATCCATAACTTTAAACACTTGAAAGAGATTTGAAAAACCCATGGAAAAGATCCTTGACATATTTTATAACTTCAAAATATTTATCAACTCAAGATCTTTCATAAAAAGTGGTTGGAAACAAGCTAGAACACATTTGAACTTAAAATTTGCTGCATAATTTAATTGCTATCTTTCGAATAATTTTTCGTATACAAGATGATGGATTTAGATCTTGTGTTCTTTATAGGAGTTGTAGATCTTCTTTTATCTTTCCAAAGAGACCAATATCATATCAATCCTACAAGAATAGCTCAAGTTATGCCTAAAATACTAAACCGTGTTCTTGCTGTCAAGTTGCAGATGAAAGTACATAATTGATTACTTTATGAAGGTGATCGATTACTTCATCAAGTAATTAATTACTCCACGAAAGTAATCGATTACTTACAACTAGTTTTCAATGAAAACACTATATATACATTTCCAATAACTCTAAAACATTTTGGGCATCATTTTTTTGCTCATCTTAAGCATATTTTGAGAGCTTCTACACTATCATTTGCTTATTCTTTCATATCTTTTAAAGATTACATATATTTGAGCTTATATCTTGAAAATTCATATACCCATAGTGTTTCAAGTTGTATAACCACACTTTTTTCTTTGTATTCTTGAGTGTAAAGAGTTGTGAGATCCATTAAGTTTGAAAGGTACCCAAATACCTAAGTAAATTTGGAGTGAAAATTGTAAGGCATCCAAGAGCCCGAAGTCTTGGAAGGTTGTAGCGATTTGTAAAGCACATGTGAAGCTAGACTGTTAGTAAAAGATTTGATCGAGTAGATTCAGTCTAGACGTAGGTCACAAGTGGTGGTGACTGAACTAGGATATATTGTGTTTTAATTATCTAAACTCTTTATTTCTAGCACTTTAATTGTTTCTTTGATATTATATATGTCACTATGTGTTAACATAAACTCTATAATAATTATGATATATTATATGTTATGAATAGTTTGAATGTATAGATTAGTTTTCCATATATCAAAATTTACTTAAAATATTTTTGATATAACTTTCACGTGGAGGAGTTGACTTATCAATGCAGGAACATTCCCACTAAAACCAGCCTACCCTGACATGTCATAAGCAGCCCGGTGATCTTGCAGACAAATACTTAGCAACCCTTGACTAAGAATGTTGAAAAAGAAGGACATAAACTAGTAAAAAATGATGTATAAAATAAAAGTTACCTGTGAAGCAAGTATGGCAGTGAAGCTATGTCCAATGATTGTTGAGTTGAGCGATTGTAGTGTGCAAACCCAGAATAAAAATCAAGTCATCCAATCTCTTTAGTTACTACCTGATAAACAGTATACATAAGAATTACTAACATTTAATCTCAAAACAAAAAGGTATTTAACATCTGCATTGGCAAAATTAACAGTGACTAACCTCCATGAAAAGCTGGTACACTGAGATGGAGGAAAATGCAAAAAAGTCCCAAAGTGGCCAAACCATCTAATTGAATTTTTAAATGCATTAAAAAACAAAATAATATAAACAAGAAAAGAAAAGAAAACATCAACTTAACATAAAAATAATAATCAAGAGTTAACTAAGTTATTACAATTGAACGATCACAAAAGCATTCTTCGATTCTTCATTGCTTGAAAATATTGCATTATATCTTCATCATCAATCTTATCAAATATATCACGTTCAACATAAGTTAACATGCATGCATTAAACCAATCATCACTTATTCGATTGCGTAACTTATCCTTAACAAAAGTCATTGCAGAAAAAACTCGCTCAACACTAGCAGTTGCTATCGGTAGAAGGAGTGCCAACTTTATCAACAAATAGACCAATGGATAAACAATATCTTTTCTCTTCTCAACCATCTTCAAAGTAAGTTCAGAAATTCTTTTCAAATTGACAAAATCAGAATCAGCTCTTACATCAACAATAAAATTACCCAGACTTGAAAAAAGAAAAGGAATATCTGCAACCTCATCAAACTCCAAAGGATAAAATCTAGCAAACTCAATCAACTTTTCTTTGTTAAAAGCAGCAAATGAATCACGAGGATCAAGACAACTCAAACACTCAAGCAACTTGGTATTGACATTATCAAATCTATCACCCAACTCTTGAACTTGAGTATCTATCACTCTATTAAATAACTCCACCTTAAAGTAGTGCAAGAATGTGAATGATTCCAATCTTCGTCTTGATCTCCCTTTAGGACAATAAACATCTTCCATATTTGGAATGTCAATATCATATTTATTGGCAAATATGTTCGTTTCTTGAAGCAATTCATCAAAACCATGATCTCTCACCTCTTGTAAGCGAATCTTGACTACCTTCACTAAACCAATTGCATTTAAAAGATCTTGATCTTTTCTTTGTAGTGCTTGTGACAACTCATAAGAAATCCCCAAGATAAGTTGCATTAGATGCAACAAGAATGCAAACTCAAAATCCTCCATGGCATACAAAATGCAACCTGCATCAGTTCTTGCAGCATCATTCTTAGGCTCGTCTTCAATAATTTTCATCAAGGAAATTATTGGAGAAAATAATGAGATAACACTTGTAACTGTACCAAAATGGGAACCCCAACAAGTGTCTCCATGTCGCTTTAATGTTGTCTCTTGATTCAAACCTTTTCCAGTTAGTATTTCACCGCGAGCAATTCTTTCAACTATCTGCTCATATTGATTCTTTAGAAGAATTTCTTTCCGCTTGCATGAACCCCCCCACAACGGTAGCCATCTTTTGAAGCATGTCAAAAAATTCTTGAATCTTCTTATAATGTTTTGCAACCTTCACAAGTGCCAATTGTAACTGATGAGCAAAACAATGAAAGTAGAATGCAGATTTGTTGTCTGCCAAAATCAAACTCTTAAGCCCTTTGAATTCACCCCGCATATTACTAGCTCCATCATAGCCTTGACCGCGACATTTAGACAAACTTAAACCAAGTTTAGAAAATAGCCCATCAATCGCAGCTTTTAGTGATTGTGCGGTAGTATCTGAAACATGAATTATACCAATAAAACATTCAACAATGGACCCCTTTTTGTTTACGTACCGAAGTACAACTGCCATTTGTTCTTTAATTGCAACATCACGAGCTTCATCAACTAGCAATGAAAAGTAATCATCGCCGAGATCTCTAATTATTGCTTTAACAGTCAAATCAGCACAAGCTTGAGCAAGATCTTTCTGAATTTTTGGTGAAGTCAATTTGTGATTATCAGGGGCATTTTGCAAGACCACATGACTCATCTCTTTATTTGGCTTAGTATAAAAGTTTAGAGTTTCAATAAATAAACCTTGTTGATTTGAACTTTCAGATTCATCAATTCCCCGAAAAGGCTGACCATTTCGTAGTAGGTATCTAGCACAATCTAAAGAAGCTTTCAGCCGAATACGATAATCAATTCTTTGTTGCTCAAAAATATTTGAAAAGGCAATATCAATATTGATGCAAAATTATATAGAAAGTAGGCTTTCAGAAAAATGCAGAAGTTTTCTGCTATATTATCATTCTTCAATCATCAAAAGTCCCCCTTTCACGTCCTTCTAACAAGCCTTTTAAAGGCAATACAAAAAGTAACTGACAATAAAAGACCATCAATGGTCTTAAAAACTGATACAAAACGGAAATAACCATAAACAAAACATAAAGTCATGCAAACTGAAACGTCTGCAATTATTAAAATCCATAAAAAGCTTTAAAACTGAAACGTCTGCAATTATAATAATTTATGGTGACTTAAGTGCATCATCCTCTCCCACTAGGAAAAGATTCACCCTCGAATCTGCAACGTCTTCAGGTGGTAATCCAGGCGGCAACTCTTATGGTACAATATCACCAAATTTCCTAATTAAGATTAGGACTTGGAAATGCAATTCTTTGACATGCTTGGTATATTCATTTGTAGTTTGGATCAATGATCGCATCTGTGATCCGTCATAGGAAAACTTTGTCTGATGTACTAGCAAGTCCCATTGCCCTTGGCCAATTAAACTTTTACCAAAAGCTAAATCTTTATCTCTATGGAGCATAAGGTTGTTATGCTCGTTGTCCCCAAATTCATAATACTGCTTGCAAACTAAAGACGTCTTGGATGAAGGATCATTCTGCATGATATCTTTGGGTAGAACTTCATCTTTGTCAAAGATATTAGAATTTCTAATAACTGACTTTCCATCGGAATCACTACAAGAGATTTCTTTCACCTCTGGATTCTCGTCGTCTTGCTCCCAATCATACTTATCATAGATAGGGAACTTTTCATAAATTAGAGCATCCATAACAGGATTCTCATCATCTTGAGAATCATCATATTCATCATAGATTGGTACCTTCTGGTCTTCTGTCAAGTCTATGATGTCAAAGACCTTTTCGACGGTGTGTGACTCGTCGATAAACTCATCTGGATGAGTGGTGCCTTCGAATTCCGGGATCTCAATCATCACCTCAATATTAGCAAAAAATGATTGATTTCCAGGTTGACTTCGTCCTCGTCGCTCCTGGTTCCGGTTCCAGAATCTCCTTTCCTCCTCATGAGATGATCTTTCAGATTCCCATCCTTCATCTGACTCGTGCAACTGTGCCTCTGCAAGCTGTTGTTCGAGTTCTTGGATCCGTCTGTCCTTTTCCTCAATTTCAGCATCTCTCGCATCAGTGTAATAATCACCATCGGTAGGTTGACCGCGTCTGCCGCCACGACCTCTTCGTCCACGACCACGACCACGGCCTTCGCGATTTTCCTGCTCAGCCATCTTAAGGCAACCTGAGCTCTGATACCAAATGATGCAAAATTATATGGAAAGTAGGCTTTCAGGAAAATGCAGAAGTTTTCTGCTATATTATCATTCTTCAATCATCAAAAAGTCCCCCTTTCACGTCCTTCTAACAAGCCTTTTAAAGGCAATACACAAAGTAACTGACAATAAAAGACCATCAATGGTCTTAAAAACTGATACAAAACGGAAATAACCATAAACAAAACATAAAGTCATGCAAACTGAAACGTCTGCAATTATTAAAATCCATAAAAAGCTTTAAAACTGAAACGTCTGCAATTATAATAATTTATGGTGACTTAAGTGCATCAAATATGTTGTTCTTGCTTCATCAAATCTTGACCAGCTTGATAACATCTATTGTGAACACTCCTATAATCTCCAACGTGAACTTTGATTCTGTCCTTCTTCTGCCAATTTTTGTACCCCACACTAACAAATGCTTCATTCGTCGAACCACTACCTCCCACCTCCATATCAAATAGGTAACAATACAAGCAATAACATGCATCTTGTGATACACTATACTCCAACCAAGAACCAAATTCTTCATACCACTTAGGATTGAATCTACGCATTTTTCCATACATTTCCGTTTGAGGGAATGGTTTAAGAATTGGTTGAGTTGGCCCCTTGAGCAAATAAGCTCTCCGGATATCCTCTCTCTCTATAGGATTTGGTGTCATTGAATAAATTGAAGGTCTTTTTCCCGGATCCGCTTCAAGATTTTCTATATTAACTCTTGCTTGAGGTGGTGATTGAAAACTTTGAAATTGAGATGCTTGTGGTGGTACATTTTGTCTTTGATCTTGAGAAGAATTTTCCACAATTGAAACATTTTGTCTCTGAGGTTGATAAGATTCTTGGATAATTGGAACTGAAATACTATTTGAAACTTGTTCATTTTGAGATCTGGGTTCTGTATTTGTGGGTTTTAGACGTTTGAAATAAGATTGTATCCCTGACAAATAAATCCAAAAGTAATTATGTTAGTGAAACAATTACAACCCTAAAAATCCAAAAGTAAATATCAATTATATCGTTTGTTGCTATTAAAACAGTTATAATAAATAAATAAATATAGAAAGGTACCTTTCATTGAGACTTGTTGAATGTTTAAGATGAGTGTTTAATTTAAATAAACTAGAATAGCTTCATTTACAAGAATCCAAAGTAGCAGATTCCCTATCTCTTTCCTGTCCTCCAATCCCCTTCCCCTTTTCAAAAAAATAAAAAATCTATGCATAAGCAGAACGTATTCATGGAATTATGATATACAAAGCTTAATACAAACAGCAATAACTCAGTTACCTAGGATGAACTCATGGAAACATTTATAATGATAGCTTGAACCAATAAATTTTGAAAAGAGATAGGGAGTATAGTCTAGCAATAACTCATGAAAAGAGCCAGTATAATAAGTCACAAGACTTAAATCCTGTAGTTTTGAAAATAGCCCTTAACTTGGGAAATAGGAAAATTCCAAGATGGCCATACTTTTAAATTTCCATAAACATCAGCTAAGCAAAACAGTTAAGTGTGTATTTATAGAAATTGAAAAATGCATTCTGTTCATTACCACTCTCAAGAAGTCAAAGGATTTGAAACTTTGATTAACAATGCGATCAAAGAAAATACCACCAGCTCAGAACCCAAGAGTTTGTCATGCTAAGAGAACAATATGATAAAATCATTGACCATAAATCAAAGCTAAACAAATATTTAAGGGGATCTTCTTGTCTTTTGCAATTAATTCTATAATCACACCTAATTAATTTTATATTTACTTCAGAGGAAGCTCTCTGTACAGGTAAAAAAAGTTGAAAAACTGAATATGTACAAAAAAAATAAAATTGGAAAACTGAATATGAAACTAACCTCTTTAACAAGGAAAGGAACGTGGGGGAGAGAAGATGAGAAGCAGGGGAAGGTCTTTGAAGTTGTAGTTGAGACTCATAACACTAATTCATGCTTAGGCTTATAATATTGCTTTGTAACCTTATTTAATTCCAATGCCCAAACGTGCGTCTAAAGGACAAGACAATGGTGGCTGTCCTTTTCTTGAGATACTAAATAAACACATTGTCTTGCAGCAAAAAGAGAGAGAACGGAAAGGTAGTGTGAACCTTGCAGCAGAAAGAGAGAGAACAGAGAGGTAGCGTGAACGGAGAGGTAGCGTGTAGGGAGTTGCAAACTCAAATTTTTTTTTGAGAATTTTTGTTCAGATTTTCGTGTCTGCAAGTGCGGACATGTGAGCCTGAGTGGGTCCGCCCCTGCTACGAAGTACGATTTATGGTTTAACATCTATAATACCAAAATTTCAAAGTGTAATACGAAAGGACTTTGCATTATTAATCAGATGTGACAAATGAAGATCTCATTTTTGGGGTTGGAACCTACTCTTGTTTTCTCCTTTTTTCTATTACACATTATTTGTCACAATTCTGTTTTCACTAATAATATTTATACATTATTTTCATTAAATCATTCTATATCATTTTAAAATAAAATAAAATAAATATTTACATTTTAACACACTATGTTATTTTTATTTTCTCAATTAAGAAAATTTTGTTTATCAGAACTTATATTTGAGATTCTACACCTTTTATATAGCTCTTAACTATATGTAAATTATTAATTAATAAAATATATTGATTGATTACGGAATTAAAATCAATTAACGATAAATTAACAAAAAATTATGATTTCAACAACCAATTGATATATTATTAATAAATATTTTATACATAGTTAGCAAAAGTACCATTAGTCTAGAATCTAGTGCGCAGAAGAAACATTTTCCTTTATTAACAAAAGGATTGGTTCATAACTTCATGTGCACAGTCCAATATGATGCGCATGTGACGAAACTGGAAATATATTACAAAAGCAGTGTGGTATATATAACTAAGTATATCATAGTATTCCAGATACTTCTTTGGATTATTATGCTGCCTCAATCATTTTGCTTATGCACACTAAAGGGCAAGTTGAAAGCTGGCCTAATAACCTCACTAGTGCTTTCTGCTTGCCTTTAAAACTAAAGAAAGTAGAAACATTAGGAGGACCAGACAAAGATGAGTAGCATGCCTGCAAAATTGTTGGTCTCAACTTTTTACATCCTCTTTGTGGCACTTCCTATTCACATGTCAGCACATGATATTAACAGAGACACACAAAATTTCATCAAAGGTGGTGGAGATGGTAGCTCAAGCAAAAGCTGCAACAACCAATTGAACACAAAACCAGTGGCTTCCACATGTCAAAAATCAACAATAACCATTCAAGCATCTCCAACTTTACCTTTCAAAACAAATGCTTTGGTATTTGCAGACCAAAGACTTGTAGTAGTGTACCCAGTTATCCAAAAATTCAAGTCCATCATCACCTCAGATCCCTTAGGAGTTACTAAATCTTGGGTAGGATCAGATATATGCAACTATAAAGGATTCTACTGTGATAATCCCCCAGATAACTCCTCTGCCATTGCTTTGGCCTCTGTTGACTTCAATGGCTTTCAACTTGGTGCTTCTACACTTGATGGGTTCATTGATAAGCTTCCTGATATTGCTCTCTTCCATGCAAATTCCAACAATTTCAAAGGAACCATCTCACCCCAAATCACCAAGTTACCTTATCTGTATGAGGTTGATGTAAGCAACAACCAATTGTCTGGTCCATTTCCCATGGCTGTTCTAGGCATGAGCACCCTAACATTCTTGGATATCCGGTTCAATTTCTTCACTGGGGCAGTCCCACCTCAGATTTTCACCCAGAATCTTGAAGTCCTCTTCATCAACAACAATATCTTCACACAGAGTTTGCCTGATAATTTAGGCACTACTCATATTCTCTTACTTACCTTAGCAAACAACAAATTCATGGGTCCAATACCTAGAAGTCTTCCCAAAGCTTTGTCCACTCTCACTGAGGTATTGTTAGTGAACAACCAGCTAACAGGTTGCTTGCCTTATGAGATTGGTTATCTTGAAAAAGCCACAGTGTTTGATGTTGGAAACAATCAGTTAACAGGTCCTTTACCATTCTCTTTGAGTTGCCTTGAGAAGGTGGAGCTGCTTAATTTGGCTGGTAATCTACTCTATGGCATGGTGCCAGAAATGGTGTGTTTCGAGTTGAGGAATTTGGTGAAATTTTCACTATCTAATAACTATTTTACTCATGTGGGTCCTCTGTGTAGGATCTTAATTCAGAATGGAGTTCTTGATGTTAGAAACAATTGCATTCCTGATCTTCCATCCCAGAGATCAGTGATTGAGTGTGCAGCTTTCTTTGCACGCCCAAGGATATGTCCCTTTATGTGGCCTCATAGTTTCATCCCTTGTAAGCTTCCTTAGGTGGTTCCTTCTCCTTGACCTTCCAATCTTTCTTCATCTACCAAGGCATTTGGGTTGCAATTCTTTCTCTTCCTTTTTTTTTCTTTCTTTCTTTCTTTCTTCTTATGTAATGTATAATTGTACTGAACTTTGTGATGGTCCATCTATTTTCTACATTTTATGCTAGTGTGAGCAGCTGATGTTTTACTTCAAAGTCATATATCGTAGTCATTCTATCCTAATTTTCTAGGGTTTTATAAGAGTTATGTTATAAGAAAAGTGATTGTGTTATGTTATAGAGATTCGTTTTGCGTGCCGAAGTTTTTTTTTTTTTTTTTTGTTGCGGGCCCCACAAAATATTGTATGTGTAAGAAATTTTTTATGGTCATGTTAAATGATAGATAATAAACCCAATTTTCTATTTCAAATTGGGTGGCTGGCAGATTATTTTGGTATATATAGAGCATACTTTTTAGTACATCTAATCTAAGTGTTATCCGGTGATACGACAACCTAGCATGTACATATTGAACGAAGTAGGCTATTCTCTATGTTTTTTACGACACTCTGACACGTTAATTTAAAAAATGTTAAATTTTGACACGTTAGAACTCATTTTGATATTATATAATATTTTTAATTTATGTACTGTATATTATATTTAGTATTAATAATTTAACAAAAAAAGAAAGCTAAACTTATAATACCTGTCAATTTTACAAAGAAATATGAGATATCCCAAATGTTTATATTAAACTTAATAAAATCATAATTCTGATCTAACGAATCTAATAGTTTGAACTCAAAATGCAACACAACGTAACCTTTGAACCTTTTTTGAATCCTTGCAACGAGTATTGGAGTGTCGGAATGTCGGAAAGTGTCGAGAAGTGTCGGACACGACACATCAAAATTTTTGAAGTGTCGGTGTTTCATAAGTTATTCTTATCATCTCTCTTTTTACAATAATTTTTTATCTTTAAATTAATATTTATTTAAAGGTTCTCATTTAATGTTATTTTATAACCGTTAATTTAATTTTGATTCAATAAAAAATAATTATAAGAAAAAAGAAATTGTAACGAGAACTAATTAACTATAATATCTCAAACAAATTACTATGAAACGATTTTGCAAACTGTGATATTCCAAGGTTTTCAAGAGAAGGTGCTTGGACAACCTTAAAAGGCGGAGGATCTAAATTGCCAAGAAAAGGGGCTTTTTCCAAAGTAAGTATATGTTCCCAAAATTTGTGTTAATGCAGGGAGAAGCACCTGTTGGCGGTGCCAAAGTCACTTTTATTTTTCTTAGCTACCACACTATATTTTCTTTCCTTCTGAAACTAGTGTAGGAAATGGACCCCTTATGCAGTAAAAGTAACTCATATGGCAAGTGAAGTGAAGACATATTAGTGAAGTTACAGTATTTCGTGTGTGACTTCTAATTAAATAAATGTTACTATTATTGATAATATACTGGTATTAAAACAGGAGTGAGTAGGACATCATGAGTTCAATCCTTATCGCATTCAACTTTCAAGTAAAAATAAGAAAAGTATAAAATAAACAAAAAAATGGATCTGTGCAGTACAAGTTATACAAAAAAATGGACCTATACCATATTTACGTTTTAAGCACAAAAAGCTCGTGTGAGAGCGTGAGAAGATATATTAAAAAAATACAAAATAATTAATTAAATTTCACCCAATATCATGATTTTGTAACTTTTGTAATCTCAGAAAATTTTTAATATGATCCAGAATCACGATGGTCCTTCCACTAAAAAATTGAGATTTAAATTAATTTTTTTTTCTCATTTCTGTCCTCAACCTTTTTTCTCTTTCTATCACCACAATTCCATCATATGTTTTGTGCTCGAGGAGCACACAAATCTCGCTCGCATTCCCATAGCACTGATTGATCAACATTCAGACAGTTTCCTGTTCATTTTGCAAAAGAAAAATTTGGGGAAGGCAAATTGACTCAACCACTCCCATAATTTGGATGTGATGGGTAATGCATACAGGTCTGAAGCCATGCATGGCCATGCGTTCCAGCTCAAAAAGAGCTTATCGATGCATAATTTTATAATTAATGGCGTTATATTCATCTCTAAGCAGCCTTGTCACTGGGCACTGTTCTTGGTTTTGTAGGGTTTTTAATGTCAACGGATATTTGCAGAAAAACACAAGTGGGAAGCCTTTTTATCTTGGGAAATCAATTCTATATGTGAAATGTCACAAAGTTGAAAAGTGGATTACGTCTCTGTAGGACTTGACATTACCTTATGAACCATATTCAATTGCAGGACTCTTTGAGAGAGGCGTTTTAAAATGATAGTGTTGCATTTTTTGGATTTAAAAAATGAAAAAGAAAAGAAGAAAAAACTAACTTTGAAGTATTATCTCTAACCAATTGATAAATGAAGGTAATACAAAATGGGCATTTCTTCAGCAATATGGGCAACACAACCAAGTGGGCTTATCGGAATGCCGCAGTCCATGGTTGGCATGTATGTCCGGTGCCAGTTTTTATTATTATGAAAAATAATAATAATCTCTCTCTGCATTTCAATTGCTAATTAGCATTTTTTCCCCCCACTTAATTATTGGCTCTCCAATCAGTGATTTTGCTGCAGCACAGTGGAAGTGTTAGGTGAGCAGCCAGGATTTTTAAAATAAATGGTAAAATATTAACTAGACCTCTCCCTTTTACCTAATAAAACAAAAGGGATAATAACACTTTTGGTGATGATTAGAGGTGGCAATATAAGTGATCCGTTATTAATTCGCCAAAACATAAGTTAGTTCGTCCTGTCTCATTTTTTAGAGTGGGTTGAAAAACTTGATCCACCCAATCTCGTTTGGCGGGTGAGGTGAGTTGGTCTATCAACTTATACTAACCCGCTTCGGCTCATCTCTCCCCGTCAAAAAATGAGTCAGCCCGCCTCACCCCACTCTTGAGAGTGAGCTATAAAATTCACCCTGTCGAGTTGATCCCATTTTACCTGCCCTAATTCTTACTTACTTTTATTTCTTTTATTCCCCATTTTAATTTTGGTTGGAAAAAGTTTAAGCTTTTCCCCATTCTATTTCGTTAATTGAACCTGGATAGAAATGGGCTGTTTGTTTTAAAAATCTCAACTTAAATTTCCATGAATTTTGGGCTAAATGGAATGGCCTTACTAAATAGAAAAAGGAAAGGAAAAAACTAAAATAATTAAGAAAGTTAACAACCTATCATTTAGTGACCTAAATGGAACGGGTTATATAAATATAAGTTGATGTTTATTATTTATCAAACCTATCTGTCCTAAAAGCTATCAAATCTTGGCCAACCAATCCTATTGATTCAATCAAATCTCAATTGGTCCAATCTATTAAGTTGATTGTTTATATTTCTAACTCGGTAAAAGCACCGTAATAATAATATTTGGCAAAAGTTTTGCATAGTCAAAGCACATTTGAGATGTATTTCCGTCGTAATGCAATCAAACCCGTACTTTCCAGGTATGAGATTAGTCTCGTATACATATGGGATGAGACACCTTGACAAGTTGGATTCCCCCATTTAGTCCCGCATGCTATATGAACGTGACATGTTGACAAGTCATCGCTGCAACATTGAACCCGTACTGTGTCAGTACAGGACTAGTCCCATATTTGATGTGTACGAGAATAGTCCAATATTAATCAGGTATGGGACTAGTCCAACACTGACACCATACGAGTTCAGTCTTCATCAACTCTTCTTAACCGCCCATCCTACCAAACACTTGCCCAAACCTGTTATATATATCCCTTCAGCTACGAAAATATCATCCCAGTGTCATGTACTTATCTTCCTCCCACCATTGCCGGCCTATTTTTTTCACTTTTCTGAAGCATATCGATAACGTTAGGAGATTTTACTTTGTTCAGTGCTCATTTTTTTAACTTTCTTGTGTTGTGTTCTTCATCTTGCGGTCTATTTTTTATTTTTATTCTAATACTATTATGGATCAATTTCGTTCATTCATATATTACAATGGTTCTAAAAATGTAGGTGCAAGCTGTTTGACCTTCGAAGGAGAAAAAAGAGCAATGCATATTGTCCGAGGTATGTTCGTTGAAGACTTAAAGGAGAAGATCCGTCGAAAGTTGAAGCTCCAATAAAATCAAATAATATCTTAATTGGCGTGTAGAGTCCCCAGTGGAAACCGCAAATATGTGGGTATTGATATATCTGATGATGAGGATGTGGTTGTTTTCCTTAGAACATTCGTGAATAACTTTACGTCTCAATTTCTTGAGTTATATGTGGATATTAACACATTGAAGTATCTATCAATACCGATTCGTGGACTGGACCTAGGGTTGGCAAAACGGGCCAACCTGGCTCAACCCGGCCCAACCCGGCTCGACCCGGCCCAACCCGCATTCAACCCGTAAAAGTCGGGTCGTGTTAGGGTTGGCTCGAAAAAATAAACGAGCCAGAAAACCCAACCCAGCCCAACCCGAGCCAGGTTAGGGTTGGCTCGCGGGTTGGCTCGATAATCAGCTCGCGGGTTGGCTCGGAAAAAAGCTCGCGGGTTGGCTCTAGGAGAAGGAAGAAGATTCTGAAGAAGAGAAAAAATTCTAAGTGTTGAGCGCTAAAACGTTCATCCAGAATGTTTTAGCGCCCTGCTACAGAAAGAAGCCAAAAGATGCTGGTCTGGAGCGCTAAAACGTCCATACAGAACGTGTTAGCGCCCTGATGCTGGAAAAGGATTCTGGTCTTCAGTGTTAAAACGCTCAAACCAAACGTTTTATTTTTTTTAATTTTAAAAAAATACCCAACCCGCGAGCTGGCCCGTTTAACCCGAGGGCTGGCTCGTTTGGGTTAGGGTTGTATCGGGTCGGGTTGTATCGGGTTGGCAGCTCATTTAGGCCAACCCAACCCGACTCATTTAGGACGGGTTGCGAGCCAACCCGACGGGTTGGCTCGTTTTTGCCAACCCTAACTGGACC